GTCGTTGCCAATGTCAAGGGTGACGTGGTTCGGATCAGGCGATGACACAGCTTCGAGCACTCGGACATGTACGCCTTCATCCTTGTCCAAGTCTGTGTCCTTAATATCTCTGTCTGAGTCTGGATCCAAGGGTTGAGGCAGGATGTCGAAGCTGGAGATGGATAGATCGGGTGTAGTGTCGAATGAGTCGAACAACGACGACACGCTCAGCAGGGGCTGTTCACTCTCAAGCCTACCGTCCTCCTCGTCTACCACCAGACTACTCTCGGATCCCCTCGTAATCCTGATAATCGGTGGCGGTGTCTCCCTTGCGATGTGCAGAACTGGTGGCGTGTCGTCCTCGTCATCCGTTTCCACCTCGGAGAACTCTTCCTCCGATTCCACGTAGCGTTCCGGGACCTTGGGATGTCGGATGAGCGAGGCAAGGAACTGCGGGGCGTGGTGGCATCGCGCGAGGAAAAACAAGAACCGACTGCTGATGTAGACGTCTGACGCAGCTGCGGACCAGGCGGAAAGCAGGACGGCGGCGTTGATGATATGAGGAAGCTTCAGAGGGAAGATTCCGCTGAGTACGGTTGATGGGGACGGTGAGAGGCGACTTACAACTTTGACTCCTGCTATATCGAGTGCGATTACAAACGGGGAGGAGCTTGCGTCCTTCGCTGGATCATTGAGTCTCGGGTGGTTCGCCGGCACAAGCAAACCTACACAGAATATACCGCCGACGTAAAAGACGGTACTGAAACGGAACCAATAATCAAGAAAGGCCATTGTAGGTATTGTTGAGGACGCACATTCTGATCCACACTCGCTGCAGCGCACGAGGGACGTTCTGAGATCAAGGTAAGGCTGTGAGCGCCAAGTGGATGAAGAAATAGGTGCCTACCCGAGTTGCATCTATCACTTCCCCTGCCGCCTGTCAAAAGGAGTCAGTCTCGGAACTGGTCTGACAAACTGCAGCTTACGATTCCTGGAACCTCAGATCCGAAGAACGAGAAGGATGCTTGCATGAGCACCGCCCAGAACCCGAGAAAGCGACCAAGGCCTCCTTTAATCCCAAGGTAATCCACGCCGAACGGCTGTTTCCAGTTGCTGAAACCTACGAACCTGCACGAGGTGGTTATTTACGTCTGCGGCACAGTCAAAGGAAGCGTACCCTTGCTGTCCAGCCCCCAGATCAATAATGAGACAGATGATGACTGGAACTGAAGTCAATAGGCTGTCCTTGAAAGAAGATGCGCCACGCACTGAGGATTACGATCGTAAGAACCTTCACCGTTGAAAACCAAAACTCAAACTCTCCGTAGACGCGGGATGAGAACAGGTTGACTGAGGTGGCCAGGATTAACTACGAACACGTTAAAGGTTGGTTTAAGTCCCAAACACATTCACTCACAAATATGGCAGACCAGATCGCAGGCCTGCGAGGAATTGAGCTTAGCATGGCGCGAAGTAATGAACGGGGTTGCTCACGATATCTGGTGTTGTTTGTCCCAAAACTGAACAACGATTGCTGCGGCCGTGATTTCAGTGGCTGTATGGTGGTACAGTCAGTATCATTCAAAGACGATCTCGCCAGAGAAGTAAACGTACGAAGCGTCACACTCCAGTTGTACCACGCCGCCCATCCCAAGGAGAAACCGACTGCAGGGTCGACATAAAGGTCGGCGAGGCCCACTACGCCACCAACATTTGGGCTAAGTACCAGCGTGACAGGTCAGCGACTGCCTGTCGCTATTCGTGATACGGCTACTCACAGAAATGCGATCATCTCTCCCACAGATACACATAGGCAGTACACGACGGTTCCAATAATGAAGTACCCCAGTAGGGCCCCAACAGGGCCCCCATTCTTCAGCGCTGTCTGTTGCCAGCGGGATCAGTGCGCTATTGAATGGGGGAAACAGTCTCTAGAACGTACATTGGACCCTAGGAATAGACCTGTCCCAATGACCCCTCCGATGGAAATCATGCCAACTGCATCGTACATGTTGGTCAACCTAACGCTGCCTCCGCCGAAGAGCTGCGTCACTCACTGTGTCTCCGAGAAAGCTGAGGGGGGAGGTCCTGCTTGATGTTCTCCCATCTTTGCTGAAATTGGGAAATCCGTAAACGTTGTCTTAGCAGTTGGGTAGGTCGAATGGTTGGCGTCTGGAAGGCGACGCGATTGTGGGTGCGCCCTGCAGAGACTCGAGATCTCAGACCATTGGACGGGATTCCGGAGAACGCAGAAGGCATGTTGACGACAAGGAGCTCGTCCTGGACCAAGTTACCCAGGTATTTAGACGAGAGCTAGGATACTATAATGGGACCAATTAACTTTTCCGACCATCACGGTGACAAGCCACTGACACGCACCGCTTTCAGTGCCACGGAGCTGCACAGTTTCCAGCGGGTTTCGGGCCTTTCGTAGTGTATATTTACATCCTGTATCCTTATCTCAACACGATGCGCAGGGTGAAGGTGAAGGACAGGAATATGAGCGAGCAATTGTGCCAAGGGAACATGGGTTTTGGAAGAGTTGAGATTCACAGTAGATTCTCACGAGCAATCGCTTTCGAATCGTTCTCAATCTCAAACACCTGATATCGTCTCGATACTTCGAAGGTCGAGCATCGACGATTAAATTATGTAGGAATCCTTCATACCAGTGGGGGCACCCACATACATGCTAATCGGAGCACTGGATAGGACCTGGCCTGAATGTCGATGCGGAGCTCAAGTCCTCCGTAAATGAAGATCAAGTGCCTGGCCGTCAAAGTTGTCAATGTCTCCACATCTCGGAATAATCTCTCTTTGGGATCTAATGGAAATACGAGGCGGTGTCAATACGCAGCCGACTGTAGTCACCCAAATCACTGACCTGAAGAGTATATATGTTGGCCGTCTCCAGTCCTGCATGATGTTCTCCCCCTCCCCCCCTTCCGCTCTCCTTCATGCGTCCCGTGCTCGTATGCTATGGACCAGTCCGTATCAGGCATCCTGGATAACGCGACGCTCGCCGCCCTTGAATGCGCCGTAGACCAGAACTATTGCACCGCGATATGTGCCAATCCTGACCTTGCCGGCATTGGCGTTAGAGTCGCATTCTATGCTCAGAGTGTTATGAATAGTGAGTACCCAATACATATCCGCCGCCAGTGCGCTGGGAGCTAATAATGTGTCGACAGCGTTGCTCGTGGTGCTTTCACCGCGAGATTCAGTGCCCAGTGCGTGGGCGGGTACACTGTTGACGGCTTCGCTCATCATTGCTGCCATCGTGCAGAAGATCAATAAGACATTGACCTTGCACCATGCAACGCTTATCCTGAAGTACGCCCTCTACGTCATCTTACCTACTGAACACATCTGATCATTGCCTCTAGCTTCGCGACACTTTCTTGCATCAGCTCGCTCGCAGCAGCCCCAATGCTTCCCATCTGGCGACTCCGACCTCATGAATACTATGCTCAAGAATTAGCGAGACATGTGTTGATGGATGACGGGGAGGATAGGAATGTTCTGGAGAGCGAGGTCTACATCAACCGACACAAGAAGAAGATCAAGGCGGCCCAGAATCGTGAGCGTGTTGTGCTCTCGCTTGCACTTCTTACCCAGGTGCGCGTAATGGAATTATGCTTCAATGCGTCAAACTTACGCGACATAGGTCGTACTTCAATGGACTTGGGGCATTCTCATGTTCGTGTCGCCGTCCTACAGTGGCGCGTACTGCAGCAAAGACACGAAGCTCTTGTTCTTCCTTGCTACATTCACAGGTGGCCAAATTGACATTCGTAACGGATGGATCTTCGCCGTCTGGCCTATGTGGTTGCTGTTCTCGCTGGGAATCACACTCGTCCTTACCGTCGTTCTCGCTCTGTCAAGTCCCAACAGAGCACACGACTACGCGATTTCGAGGCAGACTATTGGCACAGCGACGGCCAGTACGGGGTCGGCCCAGACACCTGTGATTCAAGGCTTGATCAACTTAACGTACGGTGCTTTCCCTGCTTGGGGGAATAGGCCGAAGCAGATAATATTTTGGGGAAATGTTGTATGTTTTTGCCTGTGGCTTCTATTCCTGATATGTGAGTACTGCGAACAATACTCTGTAACACCTGATGAAACTGACATGACGTCCAGCGGCTGAGTGGCAAACGCACAAGAACCGCATATTCTCGGGAGAACAGGATTTTGGCGGGTTCGGACAAGTAAGTATTGACGTCTCGACTGGGGTACGTACGGACTAAGTCACTAACCGAACGCGCCTTCCTCCACCGCAGGTAACAGCCCTGCTCCTTTCGCTCGCTCCACTCTGGTCTCTCACCGTTGCCGTGTACAAGTACCCATCCCTTCGCAAGCGCGAGGAACGCCGGCGGGTGCACTACGCCCAGCGCGAACGTTCGAGGGAACGGTCTCACGAGCGGCACGGGTCCCCCACTCCCTCCGAGGCAGACGAGGTCAATGGTCTACTCCACGGTACAGGACACCGCCCGACACGTCGCAACCGCGCTCCCACGCCAGCCCCTACCCACTCACCTCAAGGATCCACCGACAGCCGCGCGACGACCGCAGTCAACGTCGGAGAGTTCTACGAGATGAACGAACTCGCGCTCCCAGGTCCGGAACGAGGTCGTAGGGGCAGGCCGGACAGGTCGCGGAATTTGAGTGAGGTCAGCCAGTTTAGCGTTGCTGCGACTCTTGCTAGTACGAGTAGCGGCGCGAGCGGTAGGAGTCGTAGAACACCCCGAGGGCCGCGGAGACCTTCGGTGCATGTGGTCACAATTCCTTCGCCGGAGATGGGGCTGGAGAGCTTTATGGACGAGCAGTATTTCCCTGGGGCCGGGCAGCGGTGATCGTGCTTGGACTATGTTGTTCTATGTATTCTCATTGGCATTACTATTGTATTTTCTAGAGCATAGTGTATATAATCATACTCGGTTCGCGACAGTGCAAAGTTTAATGTATCAAGTGAAAGCGATCATTTGGTTCAGACAACTCTCACTTTGTTATGAAGTATATGCCCCATGGCTGAGTTGGTTACAGCGTCCGACTGTTAAGTTCAAGCGTTTAACTTGTATCTGATCATCGGAAGGTCGTGAGTTCGAGCCTCACTGGGGCAGAGTTTTTTTTGCTCGCCTCACCAACGATCATCTAATCGCCAAGCCTCAAATTTTGATGATAAGGTCGAACAGAATCGCTCTGAAGGTGCCGCATCTGTTCTAATTGCCTCTCCGTACAATGCCGCAGCTGCTCTCGGGCACGTAAGAAACACGTTGCACATCTCGGTTTTCATTGTGGCTTGGCGTTGTCATTTATGTGACCGGCGTAGGACGTCGGGCACTATCACAAGGTATTGGAAGGATTCTGCATGAACGACGCGTACGGTCGTGTGCAGTGTGTGCTCCACGGCACTTCGTTCCCAGCACCAAGTGCGCCGGTAAGCAATAGGACTGCTCTAGGAGTTTAGGACTGCGCCATAAACCACGATAGCAGCTGCGGCGTTGTACGGAGAGGCGATTAGAATTGCGAAACACCCGCGGCACCTTTAGAGCAATTCCGTTCGGCCTTCAATCGGTCTTCAACCGGCCTTATCGACGGAATATGGGTGTCCCAGATCCTAAATTCCATCAATGTGTGACAAAAGTGTTACATCTAAGCCCACCGTTGGCCGCATACAAGATTTCGATTCAACAGCGAGAGCTGTCCTAAATCCATCTTATGGTCAAGGGAGAAAAATCCCAGCCATCCATCATCGCAACGGTCACACTTTGACACACGGATATTTAGGCCGAGTTTGACCCTAAACCCTTACAGAGGGTCACCCAATGTCGACACTTGGGAGGGGATGAGCGGGCTGGCTGGCAGATTTAGAGATTTGAATAGACGGGAAGAGGTTCGTGGACTTTGAAATATGAGGCTTGGCAGTTAGTGAGGTGAGCAAACAAACAACTGCCCGTAATATGGCTTGACTTGCCGGGGCGAGATTCTCCCAAGCTCAGAACAGTCTGCGTATAAAAAGGAGTAGGGCTCCCTGGGCTTGAACACTACCTTAGATCGTCCCGCCCTCTTTCTCTCTCTCTTATCCTTGCCCCTCTCGTACTCTCAGCTTCTGCAATGCCTGTTCCGTTCAAGCACTGGGGCACTTTGTTTAGCCAGACCTTCCCTCCGAAGTCGAAGTTCAGTGTCGACCAGATTCCCGATCTATCTGGTCGTGTGTTCATCGTGACCGGTCAGTTCACCAAGTCCTTGTTGATGTGAACGTTCGCTCATGTCGACTGGGATGTGTTTGTAGGGGGTAACGCAGGAGTTGGCTACGAAACGACGAAGGCAAGTGGTGATTGCCCACGCCTCCGGACTTTTCCCCTTTTACTTCATGCTCAGCACTCGTTTTGCTTATTAGGCTCTTCTCGAACACAATGGCAAAGTGTACATGGCGTCTCGAGACAAGACGCGAGTGCAGACTGCCGTTGCTAGTTTGAAAGAAGCCACTGGCAAGGAGGCTATCTTCCTCGAGTTGGATTTGAGTAGCTTGGAATCCGTCAGGAAGGCTGCCCAAGAGTTTTTGAGGTGTGTTTCCGTTTGTGATATGCGCCTTCGCCCATCGATTGCCTGACCTCGGACCTATTAGTAAGGAGAAAGAACTTCACGTTCTCTTCAACAATGCGTACGTCTGACTTTTGTCCATATTTCCTCAGAGAATGTCGCTGACCTTTCCCATGCCATCTTCGTAGCGGAGTCATGATGCCACCAATCGATAGACTGACAACCGAGGGATATGACTTGCAATTCGGCACTAACGTACTCGGTGGGTCTTTTCCAAACTCCCGTTATTATATTCGAATTCCTAAGAGAAAACGTCGTCTAGGGCATTACTACTTCACCGAGCTTCTCATCCCTGCCCTACTCGCCGGCAAGGAGACGTCTCCAGATGGTCATGCTCGCGTCATCACGACTTCCTCTTCAGGATCATACATGGGCCCACTTCTCTGGGACACATTCACGGACGGACCTGTCAGACGGAAAACCAGCCCGGATAATCTGTACTTCTCAAGCAAGCTTGTAAGAGCCTCGGTTGGATATTATGAAGAATACTCAGCTCATGCAAATTATTCGGTAGGGGAACGCCATTGTGGCCCGCCAGGTTGCTCAACGATATGGAGACAAGGGAATCATCTCCATCTCGTGTAATCCAGGTCAGTAATTCCTCGTTTATTGTTCTCGACATGGTCTGATCCTCACGCTTTGTGGGGTCATAGGAAACTTGAAGAGCGATCTTCAACGTTACATGTCACCGTTTGGGAGATGGATATTGGTGAGCACTATTGACACAAATATTTGTGAACCATTCTAAATGTTCCTCTCATCTTCAGTACACCTTCATCCTCTACCCTGCTAGCAACGGCGCGTTGACGCAGCTGTGGGGCGGACTCATGCCGGAGACTATCCAGCATAACGGACAGGTGAGTAATGATATACGTGTTAGCACTTTTCGCACCCAACGTATCATGTTTTTAGTTCTTAATCCCTTGGGCAAGGGTTGGTCGTACGGTGGACGCCGCTTACGACGCGGAGGTCGGAGACCGACTTTGGAATTGGCTGCAAGAGCAAGTCACGAAGTTCGAGCAAACTTCCAAGCAGGCATGATTTTAGTATTGTTATGCATATATATACCCTAAACCAACCGTCGACGTCTCTTGCATTATGACTTTTCCGAGTCTATCCTCTGATAATGTCTACCCAAATATGCCTACAAAGATTTCAGGAGTGTAATCAACCTTGCCCCCCCCCCCCCTGTGCGCCAGCCATTGTCACCCTAAGCATGATTAGAAATCCGAGTTCGCTTTGACATGCTCAATCTGGAACTGCATCCAATTGCACTCTTTCACCCTCCTTTCCCGCTGCACGTTGGTGAGCGGAACAACATCATACCTGCCGCGTAACACCGCGCCGATCAGCCCAAGCATTTCGTCCATGCATATCCCTTCCACCGCCGCACGTTCCGCTCTCGTCGCCAAAGCAGTCAGACTGATGAATCGATCGACAGGATTCGTGACTTCGAACCCGCGAGATTCGGCTATGCCGGCGAGGTGTTTCAAGTACGCCTCAGTTTGTGCGGAGAGACGGGTTGTGGGAGAAGTATAGGCGTCGCCGGAGAGACCTCTGGGGGTGTGGCATCCAAGATAGGACGTGATGATGTAGTAGAACATGCTTCGCATTCCGGTGGGGACGCGATACATGATGGACGAGAGAGAGCCCCAGCTCTCTTCCTCAACGGATGCGGCGAAGAGGAGCACCTGCTTTGTCGCCCACTGCTTGCTCTGGTCGTGCTGATCGTGACGGATGTCCCTGTAAACAAACAGTCAGAATAAACTGGGATAGCAGAGAACACGGAGGGAAGACCCACGCAAATGTTGCAATCAGTTGCTCCCAAGGGTGTTTGCTGAAACGGGGGCCGTCAGGCATGGGCAGAACGTAGGAATGTACTGACGATCTCGTGGAGAGGTTGAGGATTGGAGCGGTCAGGTCATAGAAGCGAGACTTGGGGATTTGGATGTAAAGCGTGACAAAAAGCAAGCGGGGTGCCAAAGTTTCAAGGACCTCGTCGAAGATCGTGTCACGGAGACGTTCCTTGAGAGTATGGGTATGGTGGATGGCCAACGCTCCGAAAGCCAGGAGTATGCGGGTCTGACTCCATCCGTGATCGTCCCCTGTCTCAGGGTCGAGGAGGGAGTGCTGGGAGAGCAGAGTGAGGAGTAACGCTGGGAAGTCGGAAGCTATAAAGAGCTTGGACGCATCTGACGAGGATTTCGAGAGATGAATCACGAAGTTGAGAAGCGAGAGGAGTGTATGAGCGGTGGAACGTCGACGCTCCGAGTCTGCACTCGCATCTCCCCCGGACCTGATATTGGAAGCGATTGCGTCCAACAGATAGTTAACGAGATCCTGAAGCTGTCTGGCAGGGGTTGTCTGTAGTTGCTCGACGTACGCGGATGCGAGTGGTGGTAGGCTACATGGCGTGTATAGATCAGCTTGAGTCGCATGAACGAGGGTGTCAAAGAATATGGCGAAGCCGTTTGCACGGGGGAGCTCAACGGGTAAAATGTAGTCTGTATATACCACAGCAAGGGCATCAATGCTGGCGGAATTATCAATAAGAGCTGAACCTAAACCGCGTTTCGTAACTTTACGAATGAGGGACCTCAAAGCAGTCAGACGCTCCTGGCAGGGGTTTTCGGGACCCACGGATTCATGAACAGCATGCGAAATAGACGGTGCGTGCGATGCATTGAAGCCTCTACAGCACAGCACAGGAATCAGACACAGAATTACATTCGTTGAAAGGTTTCACATACCGACCGGTCATTCTGAGTCTGACGAGGTTCATAATAACCTGCTGTGCTGAAATCGCGAACCTGTCAAGAAGCGCGTCAGCAAGAAGGTACGTTCTTCCAGGAGCGAGCTCGTTCAGGAGCTCGTCCCATCCTCGCATGTCTTCTGCTGGGTCGATACAACTGTATCAATACGCCCGAATCAGAATACCAGGGTTTAGGGGAGTGGTAGACGGCGTACGATAGGTGGTCGAGGAGTTCTTTGTAGAACATCTTGAGATCATTAGGGAGTTCGCCTTCGCAATGAGGCCCGCGAAAAGCGTTGATAGCCCTGTAGTTCTGGGTAAATGTTGGAAGTATCGCAAGGAACAAGTCGGTGTGCTTGACACCAAGGTGGTAGTATAAAGAGAAATCACAGAGATCCTTGGCAGAGATTACACCAACGAGCATGCAGATCAGAAGAACAACGTCTTCTCGTCCTTCCGTCATAGTATCATCCCGAATGATCTCCTCCAAGATGGCCAGAAATCCTCCGTGTAGCAACTGCGACGCTGCAACGGAAGACCTAGAAGTAAGGTGGAGGGTGAACCATAGAAAGCGAACAGCGGGGTGTCGTTCGGTGTGCATCTGAAGTACGGGTGAGACCAGCGGAGTATCTGTGTGTACCGGTAGCGGTTTCTCCATCGGAAGGAGAGGCAAAGTGCGAAGGATATAATCCACCACTTCTTCAGACTGTCCCCTGTCGACAACGGTTAGGAACTCAACAAGATGAGCGGCTTGTGCGGGAAGTG